AAACTAATCCATAAAACTACTCAGATATAAATAACGATGAAATAATCATTATAACTTAAAGAATAGCTTTATCCTTGCATGTTAAGCCTAATCTCACATGTACGGATTATTCTTCGACTTTTTCTCAAAAAAGGATATTCCCTCGTCACTGCCTAGAATAGGTTTGGATTTTCTGCCACCCATACTAACATTGCCAAGTAACATTGCCAATAATTTGCTCATGGTATGGCTATGCTCCTACAGCTACATGGAATTGAAACTTTGAAAAAATAGCTTTAAAAGTTTAAAACAAAACTATACTATTACATTTTGGCTGGAAAAGCTGCATTTAATGGATTTTGGTTTAATAGATAATCAAAAACGATTCATTCAATAAAGACTGTGTAATAGTCAGTGTAGTATCTGGAAGAAATCAATCAACAACAAAATATTTATGATAGAAGTCCCACCACTTCAGTAACGGATGGTTATTTATAAGTAACTGTAAAACACATGATAGGTTTTCGCATCACATGACACAATTATTGCATGCTGATATAATACATATTAAATGATGTAATAGAGTTTATGGGTTAAGTATATAGTGATGAGGGTGTTAGGGTTAATAATCCTAACGCATAACACTATCTCTAATCGTAATCATACCACAATCTTTAACATCCAGTATCATACAGCAAGAAGGATTGAACTCATAATGCCACTACGGCAGCAATGTCAATTTGTTGCATCCATAATACTGCGAGGGCAAGTCGAGTCTCGACCGATGTGTGAGAGAGAGAGAGAGAGAGAGAGAGAGAGAGAGAAGAGCAGAACAGAGAAGGCAAGGCTGACAGAGCAGAGACAGAGGATAGTCCAGTTGCAGAATTGCAAACCAATTTTTTTTTAATAGTTCAAGGTTTTTTATTGATATGTATTCATATCTATGTCTGGAAGATTTTTTTAGCTTTATTGGCACAACGCCAACTTTGGGGAAAAATTTTAATTAGCTAAATACAAATTAACATGGCTAAGTACAACTTTTTAACTATAAGGCCTAGAATCATGTGTGATAGATCTTTTCTATATATGGTTGACCCAGTGAATTCATTTCTGATGTTACTTTCGCGATTAAGGGTCAGGATCAACCTATAAAGTCAAGGTCAAGGTCACTTTGGCTCAAAATTACCCTAATTTCACTTACAACGATAACTAACTGAAAATTATGTGTTGCTGCGAAGGTGTATTCAGTCCCCGTATTGATTGTTGATGATAGTATTGATTACTATTGTTGATAAATTAAAATAATGACTGGACCACATGGGTGGACCAAAATACAACTTTTTAACCCGTTCTGCCGGTGATTCCCCGTTCTGCCGGTGATTCCCTGTTCTACCAGTGATTCCCTGTTCTACCAGTGATTCCCCGTGCTGCCGGTGATTCCCTGTTCTGCCGGTGATTTCCCGTTCTCCCAGTGATTTCCCCCTGTACTACTTACTGCCTTCCATAGCAGTTATTGCGGTCATGCCCACCACTCCTAGCCTCCAGAGCTCACGATCATTTGCCAGTAGACGTAGGCCTACGCTGTTGCACAGGTCACCACTTATAGGGCAATTTAGACTCTCAAGATTCTTCTTCACCACATCGAACAAGTTGTGTTTGGTCGTCCGGGATCCTTTCGTGTGAGTATTTTTAATTAATTTCTGTTTGATGCTTATTCAGGCCTGCCGCCTATGGACGCCCTCTACTGTTTTTCAACACATTAACTACGCATGCGCTGCAGCCCTATCTTAATGTCTCGAGTACGGCAGTCCAACACACAAGTACAAACAGTCAACCTATAGCCTCGTCTACACGACGAACCACGTTGTGCAGGGGTATTGCTCTAGTGAAGATTAAACGTTTATTGGCGAATGAATCGAATCAATCACTTGTTTTATTTATAGAGGAGATATATCTCTATGCTCAAGCCAAAAAATTTCATGAAATTTCCAGCACCTAATTATGTTACCACAGAAATTTTGAATTTTTATGTAAAAATGGTATTTTGGATATTTCTCAACTACCAGAAAGAGTGAGGATACAATATTTTTGCCACATGTTAAGCACAATATGGACCAAAATAGCGCGTCAAGATTTTTCTTTAATTTTTATATTTACCGAGAAAACTCGAAAAAACTGCTTAAAAATCAAATTGTGTGTTAAAATAGGAAATTTTTGCAATAAAAGAGGCATAACTAATAAAGTAGTACGGCACTTAATAACAATCCCTGACGCGCTTTTTTACCACAATATGTTACCATTAAAACGAGTGTAAAATTAAATCAATCCGAGTTGTAATCACAGAGAAATGTCCATTTATACATCGGCTACTATGTCAGAAATCGAAACGGAGAAATGAGGGTTTTTCTATTTTTCACAATGAGTGACCGCCTGTGTGCAAGATGGGTGAACGTATGTGATATATCTATTGTTAGTACTTACTGCGTCATATCCATGACTAAATGACACCACTAAATTGGTAAAATGTTCCATGCACCTTGAGAAATTCTGATAAATTACGAGGTTACCATCGCAGAACGCGCGAACTCTGCTCATCCTGACGTCACAAAGCTACAGTATGGTGTGTTGCGAGGTGTTAGAACTATTTTTGGTGTGGGATACTTGGATACTAGCAGATGTACATGAATGTACATGAATACATGTAATGACAGCTGTAGCAGGGTTGACGCTGAATGATACTGGCTTATTTATTACTAGTGAATATCGTGGTTGTATCATGTCTCTGACGTCATAATGACGTCAGCCGCTGCTTACCACACATGTACGTGGGCAAGCAAAAACGCTCTGACGGTTCACATGTACCGTTATATGGAGACATGAGCATATACACAGGTAGCACATAGTGTTAGCCATCGAATAAAGTTAAAAACTTAAAAACTTGATAAAATTTCATGCACATCGTGGAGAGTATCCTTAACTCGAGTTAAGCTAACTCGAGTTAGCGATTATGTAGCGTCTCCTAGCGTATACACCCGATAGCGATTATTACCGATTTATTATGCATGCGTGCGTGTGTATGTAAACGTGCGTGCATGTGTGCGTGCATGTTCACGTAAACGTGCGTGCGTGCGTGCGTGCGTACGTACGTGCGTACGTACACGTGCGTTCGTGCGTGCGTGCGTGCATGTGGACGTACACGTGCGCGCATGAGTGTGTGCATGCGTGTGCAAGTACACGTGCGTGCGTGCGCGCGTGCGCGCGTGCGCAGGTACACGTTCGTGCGTGCGTGCGTGTGCACGCACACGTGCGTGCATGCGTGAGTGCGTATACATGTGCGTGCATGTGTGCGTGCGTGCGTGCGTGTGCACGTACACGTGCGTGCATGCTTCCAAGTAGTTGCGTCCTGCGCATATACCTATGCGCGTATACGGACTATACGGATAAGTGCGTGCTGTGTATGTTTACAGCGGATAGCATTGACGAATGCTATCACATATATACATGGTGGAACGCGTCGACCCCACCGAACCGTAAGCGCCACGGATATTCGTGCTAATATGTGGTCGGCAATGCCAGTGATGTTTGATGTATGATTGTTGTGAAATGCAAAACCGCCAATTAACAATTTGTTTATGCTATGTAGGAATTAGCATTTACTTTACTTTACCGTGGTGCATTCGGTTCACTTGGGACCACATATTTTCTACGGGTTGTGT